ACGCCGCCAAGCTCGCGGGCCTCTACCCGGTCGACGCGCTCTTGGCGCTCGAGGCCGACGCGGTCGTTGACGCGATTCTCGAGCTCGTCAACGTCGTTGTTGACGCCGTCTTCAAGACCAAGGACGAGACGCTGCGCGCAACCAAGTTTGAGGCCATCAACGGCGAGATCTTCCCGCGCATGCTGCAGCAGCTCGAAGCGCGCGTGGCGGGTCCGTACTTTACGGGTGCGCAGATCACGTTTGCGGACGTGTACCTCTTGGACTTTTTTTTGAACACGCTTTCCAACGACAGCGTCACAATTCGCCTCGCCGAGTACCCCAAGCTCCAGGCCATCGTCGACCGCACGCGTGCGCTGCCGCAGCTCCAGACGTACTTGAGCAAGTGATTGTAATGTATTCTACCGTCGAACATACATGACTTTTAGTTGCAGTACTCGGTCTCTGCATGGACGTTCATCTCGGCGTTCTCCAAGAGCCGACTGTCTTGCAGCACCGTCACAGTGTCGTCGAGGTTGCCCAAGAGGTTGCTGAGGGCAATTGGTGTCGCTGCCATTGTGTCGAGCTGGACCACGCGTCTTGATTCGTTAAAGTGAAAGTGGTGCACGAGAGGTAGGAGCAGCACCTGACCGACAAGCCGCCTTGCGAGGTGGTGCTGGTCCGCAGCCTGGGGGAAAAGGGCCGTCACGGAGCGCCACGTCAGACCCAATCGAATTGTAGTCGAGACGCGAAGGACCGTTGTCGCCTCGACGGAAACGCTGTCGATGCGCGCCGGCTCCATCTCGTACGTAGAGAAGAGAGCATGCGAGAGACGCCATTGCTCCCATAGCTTCTCCACACGAGCCTACGCGTCGCTCGCATGCAAAATACCTGTTGCGTGCGCACGCACCTCGCCTTGGAAGATCAAGTTGGGCTCCATAACGGCGGTTACAAACGCGACTTGCTGCTCGTGGAGATGGGGCAGGCGCGGCGCGTACCCAGAGCGAAAGAGGCGAAAGTACTCGAGCACGACGCCCACCTCGGGCTCGTGCAAGCGCAAAACGCTGCGCGTAAGGATCTCGATGCGGCCTTGGCAGCGCGCAATGTCCTGCGTGAGCTCAACCACGTCCCGGACCCGAGCGGTATTGGTATCGTGCAGCTTGAGACGGTAGCGTTGCTGGTTGATGCGCACCTGGGCGCGCCGCCGCAGCATTTGTTCCGGGTTGTTTGGTGGGCTCATCGCGTGTGCAAAGACGTTGTGTAGGGGCCATAAAAAATCGCCCTGATGACGCAACACTGGAAGCGTTATTTTCGGTGAAAAATCGAAACCACTGGAAACAACCGGACATGTGATGATTCGGGTGATCAAAACTTATGCCCGAAAGCATTGTACAGGTGTCACTCGATACCAATCCCTGGCAGCTTCCCTTTTCGTGCTTCACCAAGGCGCCACGCGTGCAATGTCCCCTAACGGTGGAAATAATCAACTCGACAAGACTTTTGACGTGGTGGATCGAATCTCGTCTCATGCCAGTCCAACCGTGCACTTCTCGCTCGGTTTACTCGCGAGCACCTTGGATCTTTGACATTATCATCTGCGTGGTATGGTGCCGTGGTAGTACATATGCTTTGGGTGTTACAGTCGACTCTCTCTAATTGCATAGTGGATAATTTATGCATCCGAGAGATATATTAATTGTGCAAGGTAAGAAATATAAAGCCCATGAATAATATTTTTTCGTCGACCAGGTCCAGCTTCAGCACAACACGAAGCTGCTGAGCGACCAGCTCCTGGAGATCATGAGGAAGCCCAAGCAGTACGGTGTGACGTGGAGTGAGCACTTGCGGTACCTCCCCCATCTGCAACGCAAGATGAGTGCGCCCAACAGCCTTGTCATCGACATGTTCTGCCGCCACGCGTGCCCCGAGCACACGGTCGTGCTCCTTGCGCACTCTGCGTTGCGTCGCGACGACCCGGCGACGATGGACGAGCTCGTGGACTTGCTCGTTGCGCTCACGAGCACTGGTGACGAGTACGGTCGGCCGGCGCAAGGGCCGTCGTGCTCGAGCACAAGCGCCTCAAGCCAGCGCCGGTGTATCGACGGACGCTACCCCTGACGGTGTCGACACCGACCACGCGCACTGGTCGTCGGCAGCGCAACCGCGCCATCCGGCTCGCTGCGTCATCGCCTTTTGGTGGCCTTGCTCGTGGACACAGCGCGCGACTTTGGCGTCACCTTCGGCTTCTTCGTCATTCGGCATCAAATTTATTTTATTTCGTTTTGAGCTGTAAAAAATCAGGGTCGGACTGTATCACACTGGAGAGGAATATCGAGTTTCGGGATATGCAATTAGGGAGAGTCGACTGTACCGACTAATCTCCTTCAAGCAAGCAACAGCCGGTAACCTGTTTCCTTGAAGTAGCTTGTCGATAACAGCCAGAAGCAACAGCCGGCAACCTTCTCCTATTTTAAGAACCACCCGACAGTCAAGGCTCTCCTCGTTGCCCATCGGCTCCGAGATCGGCTCCCATCGAATGGTTCTCGCACGTCTACACCACGCATGGCTCGCTACGCCTAGCTCCGCTCGTGCTTCATCGTCTTCCAATCTGACACAACGCGCATCAACGCGCATCGTCCTGCGTCAGGGAAGCTCTAGTGGCTCGCGAAAGATCACATATCGAGACGCTCGTCGCTCAAGGTTACACGCAAGTAGACAGCTTCCAGCGCTTGGACACACGGTTGAGCAACTGCCAGGACTTTTTCCGGCGCTGCCGCCAACCCTTCGTTGGATTCAGCTGCCCACGATCACTCTTCTTGGCTGCGTCCCGCTCATATCGCCTGCCGATCATGCCGTGCGCCCAATCAGCGCCCCGCCATGGCTTGCCAAGTTCGGACCCCTTAGCGTCCCCGAGACCTTCTACAAGCAACTGGGCCGAACGGCCTCGTTGGTTCCTTCACGGCAGCCAACCCACGTCCTTCCGCGGTACGGTGACTTCGTGTACCAGGCTGCATGGAAAGCCGTGGCCGTCCGATCCAGCTTGCACTTTCTCGGCACCTAGGCTATAGACGCAGGTGCATGGAGAGACGAACAGGGTTCGTGTTGGGAGGCCGCTGCCGCCCAAGAAGGGACTGGTGGGTGGGTTCAAAGAGCATTGAGTAGCTAAGAGGATTGGCGAGCAAATCGCAAATGAG